AAAGGGCAAGTTCTCTAAGGAAGGCCTCCTCCCCTCTCCCTCGCAACCCCTCCCCCCTGACCTCCTCACACCCAGTCTCTCCCCTGGCTCTCCCACTCACTGCACCGGGTGCCAGGCCAAGGTCACCAGAAGGCATCTGAGGGCACGGCCTGGCTCCATCCCAGCCCTCCCTGCGGTCAAAAGTCCAGCTGGAATAAGGGGTCCTGACCTCTAAGCACCAAGCACCCTCTCTGGAGGGGAAGGAGCTGTGTGAAGACCTCCGATAACATTCTTCCTCGGGAGGTTCAAGACTTCCCCCAAAACATTCCTATGGATATCGCTGATCCCAGATGGGGCACAGGAGCTAACAGAACTCTGCTGTGAGCTACTCAGGAGACTCAGAGGATTCTAGAAGTTTAAATATTTACAAAATATCTAAGGGAGGGGAGGGAGGACAGCCTCACCAAGAACTTTAGGAGGGAACAGGTGGGGAAGGCATAAAAACAGCCTGTTCAACTCTGAAAAGTCTTTGTGCCACAGAGTTTGACACGTGAATGGTGGGAAACGCCTGCCAGGGAGCTGGAGGAGAAGGGGGAAAAGGCAAATAAGAGACTGGACATGGAGGGGCTCTGGCTGGCCTTCTTTCAAAACCTTCAAGAGCTCCAACCGGGGCTCTGGTGCCTAGCGTCCCCACTCTCTGGTTCCCGGTTTGAGGCTGCTCTAAGCTGGGACCTGCTCTCCTGACCGTGTGGCTCTCAGAGGTTAAAGCTACTGTACAGACAGCACTCTACTGCTCGGATGTTCAATTCTCAGTGATTTAGAAACGTCCTGCTTCCCCTCGCCGGCTATTCTGTGATGGACAAGCTGCCATGGTAAACAGGGGTGGGCAAAGGGGGTTAGGCACATGGGGAAGAGTCAGAGCACAGCCCCAGGACGGAGCGAAAGGGCCTCGCTCTAGGCCTGGTGACAATGCATTGTGGCCCCGTCACTTTGGGCCTTTAACCCTCGGCTTCATCACTTGTGCAACAGGAATGATGCTAGCAGCTCTGCCTATCCTAACCCGTTACATGCCATGTCAGTCACCGGTGCCTGAGACTATACTTTCCATTTGGACCTGTCAGTCTCCGGCCGCCAGCATATCCGTGAAATCAGATACCAAGGGCTAAACAGATAGGAAGACAAAACAGGTTTGGCGCTTAACGTGTTTATTTGTTTCTTTCTCCTCAAAGGAGACTGCCCAAGTGCTCTGTAGACTGTCACAACCAACACCAGATACTTCAATCATGTCCTACTCCTTTTGACCTCCTGAAGTAAAACATTATCATTATCAGCACAACCACCACATGGGGAGCAGCGCCACCAGCTGCCACGGCTCCCCTGTGCGCCCCAACACCTTCCCATCTCCCCCCAATGGCGCTGGGAGGGAGAGTGTCCCCGCTGCGCAGGCGACAAAGCCCCAGACACATAGAGGCCTGGCTTATTTAACACTAGAGGCCCGGTGCACAAAATTAGTGCATGGGTACGGTCCCTAGGCCTGGTCTGCGATCAGGGCCATCTTCCCAGCTGCTGGCAGCCGGCCCCGCCCCCACTCCCGGTTCCCCATTCGCCATTGGATGATTGGTGCCTGATGGTCAGGAGAAGGGACTGAGAGGTCAGCTGTTCCAGCCTGCTCGCTGGCCCTGCCCCTGCAGCAGTGGCCATCAGGCGATTGGAGCCTGCCAGCCAGGGAAAGGAACCAAGAGGTGGTCAGTGCGCCTCCTAGTGACTGGTCCAGCGGTCATGGTCGTTCTGCCATTAGGGTCAATTTGCATATTACCCTTTTATTACATAGCATGGTGGACAAATAAATGGCAGGGCTGGGACTCCAGGGCAGCCGGCCTGCCTTTCAGGGTCCACGTGAAAGCGGCCGTGCAGGCCCTGGAAGACAGAGGGACTGAGAGGGAAGGGCAGATAGGATTCAAAGGGATGCTGGCTTTCCCAGCAGCGGATGACTCCTGAGCCCATGAATAATTCACCAGAGCGCTGTGCTGAGAGCTGGTTCTTTTTGTGTGTGGTACATCTGGTCAGGGACAGCTGCCCGTGGCCGGGCCACAAATGTGTGGACTGGACCCTCCAGCTCAGAGGCACAGCTCAGAGCAGTTTTCTGCTCCGTTCTCGGGGGCTGAAGGCTATTCTGATTCCCAGAGGAAGGCAGGGTTCTTACATGTGCTTATGAGTGCCCACCTGCACGTAACAAAGAAACAAACAAATCTCCATGCGTGTGATATGAAATCGAGACATTCGTCCTTGGACTTGTTTTCCCTCCGTGGGCCTCATCTCTAGTTCCCTTCTGGGAAGGGCTCTCTCCTATCAGGAGGTTGTGTTCTCCACCCTTCTGTCGACTGTCAGACTCAGTGTTACTCCTGGTCTGGTCTTGTTCCTAGACAGGTTTCATTGCAGGCATTTCTGGCTGGAATATGTGAGGAACTGGAGGGCGGCAGCAGACAGCAGAAGCTGAGAGTGGCAAGAAAGATTATAAAAAAAGACTCCATCTGCCACAGAACCTCTTCCAGCTGAACGTGAAAAACAGAAGTTGTTTTCCTTCCTTTTTTTATTTTTTATTATTTTTTTTAATGGGTCCTATTGCAACTCTTAAAAAAAGAAAAAGAAAAAGGGATATGAGCTTGAAGGAAGGTCCCTACAGGAAGAAGTCTGTTCGGGCCCAAGCAGCAGGCAGGGCTATTGCATGGCACAGCTGCTGGGGGGTATCTCTGCACAAAACCCCAAGGGGTACCTCTGTGGATAGCCCTGTGGGAGATGTGAAACTTGAGGTGTACAGGCAGTGGGGCTATGGTCTGTCCTGAACCCACGGAGAAGCAGAAGCTCTGGTAGATGATGATTTATCTCTGTTCTGCAAAAGGAATCCGAGGCTTCAAGTGACTCACATAATCGCAGAGCTGAGATTTAAACTCAGACAGCCTCGCCCCAGCCCACACACCAACGGAGCCTGGTGACTGCAGGAAAGCCTAGAATGACAGAATTCTTGGAATATCCCAGCCCTGCAATGTGAGCAACACAGGCTGGTGAGGAGGGAACCTAAGCCAGCTACACTCCTGGTGGAAGGGGTCAGGGAGTGCTTCCATCAAAGTGTCCAAAGAGGCAAAAATACCATGGCGTGCTTCTGCCAGATGGTCGTATTTCAGGAGGTCAGGGAGAAAGAGACAACATCTATAATAATAAAAGTGTAATATGCTAATTAGACCGAACATCATTCCAAATGTCCTTCCAGATGAAGCCGGGCTGCAAGGGAAGCTGGTGCCGGCAGCCAGGGGAAGGAAGGTCTATTCTTGCACGATTTCATGCATCAGGCTCCTAGTGTTATAACAGAAAGTCAGACCTGGGTTAGGTTAGAATCTTGGCTCAGCCATTTCTAGCTGTGTGGCCTTTATTCAAAACCATTGCTACTTGGAATAAAGTTTTTAAAAAGACAGGAATGCCTCAGAGATTCTTAGCTGATTTGCCATGGGTTCTCAGCATTAATGACTTTTATATGCTTCTCTATAAATATATTTTTTATTGATTTCAGAGAATAAGGGAGAAGGGGAGAGAGAAAGAGAGAGAGATAGAAACATTAATGATGAGAGAGAATGATTGACTGGCTGCCTCTTGCTTGCCCATCTTTCCTCCCCCGCCCCACCAACTCCCTGGGATCGTGCCCTGACTGGGAATGGAACCATGCCTCCTGGTTCATAGGTCAGTGCTCAACCACTGAACCACACCAGTTGGGCAATGTGCTTTTCTTTAATTGATGTGCAACCAGGTTTAAGAACTACTGATTTAGGCTCTCTACCTGCCAAACAAACAAACAAACAAAACACTCATCCCCAGCTCAATCATCCTATAGCTGGGGATGAGTCCAAATAGATGTCAAAGAGAACTGCAATTTAAAACTCATCTAGAAAAGCTGAGCTATTCCTTGTGAAGGTTAACAATACACAAATGTAAATAAGCATTCCCCTTCTCACCTGTCCCCTCCCAAATGCATAGAAATGAACACTGGATTATACATCGATAAAAATCCCCAGCCCCCTTCTTCTCTGCTCCCCCTGCCAAAAAAAAAAAAAAAATTGGCAAGTGTAACTATGTGGATGGTGTGAAATAGATGGGTTAGACCCATGGCCTGCAAACTGCGGCTCGAGAGCCACACGCAGCTCTTTGGCCCCTTGAGTGTAGCTCTTCCACAAAATGCCACGGCCTGGGTGAGTCTATTTTGAAGAAGTGGTGTTAGAAGTGTAAGTTTAAAAAATTTGGCTCTCAAAAGAAATTTCAGTCGTTACACTGTTGATATTTGGCTCTGTTGATTAATGAGTTTGCCGACCACTGGGCTAGACAGACAGGTGGACCAGAAAATGGATCAAGGCTGCCGGGACCGGTTTGGCTCAGTGGATAGAGCGTCGGCCTGCGGACTGAAAGGTCCCGGGTTCGATTCCAGTCAGGGGCATGTGCCGTGGTTGCGGGCACATCCCCAGTAGGGGGTGTGCAGGAGCCAGCTGATCAATGATTCTCTCTCATTGATGTTTCTAACTCTCTATCCTTCTCTCTTCCTCTCTGTGAAAAATCAATAAAAAATATATTTTAAAAAAAATGGATCAAGGTGAGAGCTGCCCTATGAGATGGCGTAAGTAACAGGGCACAGAGTACTAGAGAGTGAGGGGAGGGGAGAAAGGCACAGGGCTGAGAAATGGGGTGGCGCTGAAGTACCTGAAGATGTTACCTTTAGCACAAAGCACCTTAAGCTTCATCACAACCCCAACAGATCTCAGTTTCCCACTGGAGGGTCATCAGGGCCAGGGGTCCTTCTAATGTTTGGCAACCCCTTCACACTCTTACCCTCTGCCTATCACTCCTCTGTTGAAGAGGAGCTTTTAGCCGACAGCCTGCTCTCCTTATTCTAGGAGTCTGAAGTCCCCGTCACAGCCCCCACCGCCCAACCCTCCCCCAGGGCGCACCTTGCCCTTTGGAGAAGGTCTGTGCTCTCCTACCTGCGCTCTCCTCCGCCTGGCTGAAGCCGCAGATCTGACAGATGCTCTGGACCCACTTATTCATGTCCTCCTCGGTTTCGGCCACCAGGTAAAAGGTGCGCTCGCTGGTCTTGATGTCGAACACGAAGCTGTCCTGCAGCTCCTTCTTGTTGAAGGTCAGGCCCGCGTCCACCTGCTCGCAGAAGTTGAGGTTGATGATCCGCAGGGGCTTCTTGGAGTGGTCATTCTTGTAGTATTCCAGCACGTCGGGGTCGCCGCTCATCCGGCCGCTCCGCAGGATAAACCAGCGTTTCTTCCAGGCCTGAAGGGGAAGGAGTGAGACGAGGGGGGAAAGGTCATCGGCTGTCTCAAAGCTTTCCACGGGCCCCCATGTTATTGCGAGGTTAACAGTGGGCACGGGTGCATCTGCAGGCTGAACGTGGGCTCTGTCTCTCTTCCTTTTTGCCCCAGAAGTGGGGGGTGATCTTGGAATGCATTTCACTTTGTAAACAGTTTTATCACCATGCAGTGAATTGTGTGGCATTCCCACTTTTTAGATCAGGAAGTTAGATGTGGATGAAAACACTTTACAGCAATTATTCCATTAGGCGAGAATACAGACTCACACTCACAGTACTTTTAACTCACAGGGTGGAGCCTGGGAAACCATAACATCTCAGTTTATGGATGGGGACCCCCACTAAGACACGGCGAGCCGAAGCAACAATGCCACACCACGCAAAGAGCAGAAAGCAAGTTTCCTAACTTTCGTTCATTGTACATTGTGTTTTTCACCACATCACAATGCCTTGAAAGAATCACAGAGAAACCCTTATAAAACTTCTCTGAAGCGCATAATTTTAGGATTTTCCCGCCCGTCTCCTTCACTGCTATATCCCCAGTTCTTACAAACTAGAACATCTCATTTTGTGCGCAGAACCTCCAATGCGCTTTCATCTCACTCAGAGTAAGAGCCACCTCACCGTGGCCAAGGGGGCCCTCCTCCCACGTTTCTCACCTCATCTCCTGCCATTCTCTGCCCATTCTGCTCTGGCCAGAATGGGCAGAGAATGGAGTATGTGGCCCCTCCAACCTCAGGGTCTTTGCTCTGCTTGCTCCCATTGCCTGTAACAATCCTCCCTCAGATATTCCCATTGCTTATTCTTTCTTTCAAGTCTCTATTCCAGCGTTTTTCAACTGCTGTTCTGCGGCACACTAGTGTGCCGCGAGATGTTGCCTGGTGTGCTGTAGGTGCAGACAAGACAAGAATTTTATAATTTTTCACTATTTTGTTTACTTAATATTTCATAATAAAGTAATTATAAAATACTTTCTTTGTGTTTATTTGATTCCTATTCAAGAGAATTACTTTATATATAGTCAATATAGGCACAGAGTTAAATTTTTTAACATTTTCTAATGGTGGTGTGCCTCGTGATTTTTTTCATGAAACAAGTGTGCCTTTGCCCAAAAAAGGTTGAAAAACACTGCTCTATTCAAATGTCACATTATCGAAGAGGCCATTTCTAACCACCCAACCCTCACATTCTCTTTACTCTGTTGTACTGGTCTCCTAGCACTTATACCACCTCGAATACCATATTTATGTTGAGTGTCTCCCAGAATGTAAACCCCATTAGGGCAAGGGTTGGTTCTGTTTTAATCCCATGCCACATCCTCAGGGTTTAGAATAGTGCCTGGCACATAACTGGTTATCGATAAATATGTATTTAATGAATGAATGGATTAATGACGTTATTCCATGAATTTCTCACTGCAGTAGTAAGTCATGGGAACTGAACTGATGCCTAATAAGCCTTAGACAGAGCAGAGGTAAGAAAATAAACATAAATACTATTTATATACAATTATCTGAAGTCTTGCCCAGGCCACTGCTTACAGAACTCCATGTGTGCTGTGTGTACACATGCTGCAGGCCACACATACACATATATACGTGTGGGTCAGGAGCATTTAAAAAGATATTGTTAATAGTTCAGCTTGTGTTTGGTTGATGTGTGCCTTTCAGGGGTAGTCTCTGCAGAAAGAGCTGTTTCCGAATCTCTGGAGTGCAGGTGTCAGCATAACCACACACAGCTCCCTCGTCAACAAGAAAAAGGTGTTTGCTCTAGATAGCATCGAAGCTTGTCGGTTCAGCTCCCAAGGAAGCAGTGCAGGCTGACAAATGGCTGCCTATGAAATGTTGATAAATGTATGACAGAGCAGGCAAGGCTGGTCCAGTCCCACCCCCCCATCCCTCTCTGCCACAACACCTCTTCAAGTCCATGCTGTTTTTTTTTGTTTGTTTGTTTGTTTTAAACCAAACAATTCAGAACAAAGCAACTTCAAAACCTCTAGCTCCACTGACAACTTCTCTGATCCCCTGAGGTGAAATGAAGCTTTACTTCCTCTGAACCTTAATAACACTTTAATAAAAATAAAAAAAAAATCCTCACCCGAGGATATATTTTCATTGATTTTTTAGAGAGAGGAAGGGGGGTGGGGAGAGAGGAGAAACACTGATGTGAGAAACATCAATCAGTTGCCTCCTGTATGCACCCAACCAGCAAATCTAACCTACAACCTAGGTATGTTCCCTGACCGGGAATTGAACCCACAACCTTTTGGTGTATGGGATGATGCTCCAACCAACTGAGCCACACGGCCAGGGCAATAACACTTTTCATGTACTTCTCATGGCATGTCGTTTTTTACAACCTATTACAGGTATTTTTGTATTTGTTGTTTCTTTGCAAATAGACCATGAACAACATTTCCTATTCCTGAACCTTTCTGATCTCTCTGGCCTCATTTATGTATGTTTCCTTTCTTCCTTTCTCTCTTCCTTCCTCCCTTCTTTTCTCCATCCTTCCCTCCCTCCCTCCCTCCTTTCCTGCTAGCCATCCAACAAATATTTATTTAGTGCTTACAATGCAATAGGCATTTTTCCAGATGCTGAGGATATAACATGAATTGCAGGTCTTACAGGAATTCTTATTATATATTATTCTCCAAATGTGCCACTTAGAATTAAATATGATATAAAAATAACTATATACCATGACCAAATGGGGTTTATTCCAAGGATATAAAACGAATTCAGCATTCAAAAATCAATCAGTATAATCCATCATATTAATAAGGTTAAAGGAGAAAAACCGTATGGTTATATCAATCAATGACGAAAAACATTTGCCAGAATTCAACACCCATTCATGATAAAAAATCTCAAAAACAAACAACAAACAAAAAAAACGGACACAGGCAAAATTCTGAATGAATCTCCAGAGAATTATACTGAGTGAACAAAGTCAATCCCGAAGGGTTCAATTCCACTTATATAACATCCTTGTCAAAATTTAGGGATGGACAGCTGGTTGTCAGTGGTTAAAAAGGGGGCTCGATTCCAGGTAGGGCACATACTCAGGTTTTGGGGCTGTGATCTCTAAAATTGTTTAACCTCCCAAATGTTTTTTTAAATTGATTTTAGAGGAAAATAAAGAAAACATATCTTCATGACTTTGGGGTAGGCAAAGATTTCCGGAATACATAAAAGGCACTAATACAAGAGAACAAGTAACCAATCATATTCCATTAAATGTAACCTCTGGTTACCAAAAGTCACCATTAAGAGCAGGAAAAACCAAGCCAAGACAGTGAGGAGAGATACTTGCAATGCACATAACTGATGAAGGACTTGGAGGACTCATATTCATAACATATTTAAAAACAAAAAAACAAAACAAACTCCTACAAATTGGCAAGGAAAAGGCACTCAACAGAAAAAGCAGCAAAAGATTTCATTAGGCACCACACAAAAGAAGACGCGCAAGTAGCAATAAGCATATAAAATATCTTATCTCCATTAGCCATTAGGGAAGTACAAATTAACACTACCACACCACCACAGAATGGTTACAATGAAAAAGACTGACAATAATAAGTACTGGGAAAGAGGTGGAGAAACTGAAAAACTCATACTCCGTTAGTAGATGGGTAAGTTGGTATAATCATTTTGAAAAACTAACGTAGTATCTACCAAAGCTGAACATTCATACCAGCCCCCTACAATTCTACTCCTGGGCACATACCCCAAATGACTGTGTATAAACATTCACCAAGATACCTGTCCACGTACGTTCATCACCACACTGGTCATAATAGCCCATATCATGCCTGTCTGTCTACACTCTCTATTTCAAGTGCTTGCTACTTATAGTCTGGACTACTATCATGGCTTCCTAACCAGTTTCCCTAATTTAATACATCTAAATGCTTCCAGTTTAATCAGAACAAGAAAGCTCTGGTCCTGTTACTCCCCCCAACTATTCAAAAATGTAATGGCTCCCCATCATCCACAAAGCAAACTCCAAATTCTGTGGTTTAGTTGTTGTTTTTTTTTTTTTTTTTAAATTAAAAATTATTTCCAATGGGCTAAAACAGAGATAACAAAATTTACCCTTTTAAGTGTGTAGTTCTGTGGTATTAAGTACATTCACATTCATAGCATTGTACAGCGATCAACACGGTTCTTTTCCAACTGAAATTCTGTATCCATTAAACACTAACTCCCCCCCTTCCCACTTGACCACCCCTGAAACCCACCGTTCTACTTCCTGTCTGTCTGATCTTGACTGCTCATAGAGGTGAAATAATACAGTATTTGTTCTTTTGTGACTGGCTTATTTCATTAGCATGATGTCTACAATGTTACTCCCTGTGGTAGTGTGAGTCAAATTCCATTCCATTTTGATTATCCCTCTTATCTGCTGATGGGCTCTTGGGTTCTATGGCTCAGTTTTAAGGCTTTCACAATCTAGTTCAAACCCACCCTTCCATCTCATCTCTACTCACACATATATGGTATATATTCAAACCAAGTTGCTGCTATTTAAACCAAGTAGAATATTTTCACTATTTCTAAAACATGCCTGGGCTTTTCCGCCTCCACTCTCAATTTCCCTCCCGATCTTCCTTCCTTTCTAAATTCTCTAAAGTTTTTCTTATACTTGAATGCTATCCTGCCATATTGAGACAGGCCAGTGAGCTAGGACAAGTAGAATAGGGAAACTGAGGCAGCTGAACAAACTGGCAGAGCAGTTTATAGTACAATAGATACAGAAGTTCACCTCCCTAGAGACAATGTCTAGGCCTCAGCTGTATTTCGGCTGTAGATGCAGAAAAGCAGCAAAAGGTGGGTGATACCAGGACCAGCTGCAATGACTAATGACCCCCTGCCCTGGTGCTGACCAATCAGCGGAGACCACCACCCTGAAGGAGCACACCTAGGAAACTGAATATTCTACTGAAACCCTCCCTCGA